GGACGGTAAAACTGGTCCAACCCCGGCAAGGGGCAGCTCCAGAGGCCGCTGCGGCCGGACACGCTGCGTGTGAGTGAGGTACACGGCGGGCGGGGAAGGGAGGTGCTGCCTGTGGGTGGGAAAGGGCGGGACGGCGCGGCAAGGCTGCGCGCCCAAGGCGGGAGGTTTTGAGGAGGTTCCCGAAAGTCCTTGCTTTCGCCTGCCCGGCGGGAGATGCCCGAGTTGGAAAGATGAGGCAGGCCCGGCCGGAGCGGTGCCCGAAAGGGGCGTTGGGGTGCATCCCTCCGTCGTCGCGCTTTAGCAGGCTGCCCGGGAAAGGACAAGGTAGTGATGTTAGTCATGGTCAAAGGGACGGCTTTCTTAGCTGTGTTACCTGTAGTCTCTTAATCGGGCTAAATAGGCTGTAGCTGTGTTTGAGAAAAACAGACTGCAACTGTGCGTTCTGTTCTCTGTGATGAACATCTGTGATGTTCAGGTTGTCGTCTTATATGCAGCTTCCACTGCTACTTTTAGTAATGTTATGAGGTAGCTAACAAAAACCAGGTCTACTTCTAACTCTGTGATACTTTTTAAAAATGTTTATTGTTATTAACCTTGGCTGTTGGGCTAAATGATATTTGGTAGTATTGTCTTAAAGCCATGAAAAAGTTTATGTAAAGTTTTACACTGGTAATTGGAAATTTCTTATTATTGGAGATGATGATTGTAAGAAACAGCGAGTGTTGGGCACAGCTTCTTATGTAGGTGTGTACATGAATCAACCAGAGGTGATGCTTTTCTGAATCTGCAGGAGGTGGAAGCAAGGACAGGCTATCAAGGAGAAAGATAAAAAAACCCGCTGTCTGGACACGTAGGTATGGTGCTAGGAAGGCCAAAGTTCTAGTGTTGAAACTAGCAAGGAGTGTCAAGGGTGACAAGAAGAACTTTTACTGCTACATTAGTGATAAGGGGGGGTGTGTGAACCTGCTGGTAAATGGGACAGGTGATTTAGGAAGAGCAGACTCAGATAAGGCTGAAGTACTTGGCCTTCTTGCATGGGCCTTCAGAACTGATGTCCCCTACGCTTTGTCTAAGAGACAGGATTCGAGGAGAGGAACAACCAGCAATGGAAAAATGTCAAGTTAGGAATCTCTTGAGGAATCTCAACCCATACAAGTCTGTAGGACCCACTTGGGGTACATCCTGAGAGGGCTGAGAGAGCTGGCTGATGTCATTGTGAGGTTGCTCTCTTATCATCTTTGAGAGGTTGTGGAGGTCAGCTACAGCTTCGTCTTCATTCAGTCCCTTGGAAAGTCATGAAGCAAGTTCTCTTGGACATTATTTCTCGGCATGTGAAGGAGAAGGCAATTGGGAATAGCCAACGTGACTATACTTGCAAACTGATTACCTTTGGTGATGAAATGACCAGATCTGTAGATCCAAAGCCTTTGATGTCATCTACATTAGCTTTAACAGGACTTCTGAAACAGTCGTGTGCAGCATGCTCCTCCTGGAGTTGGGATGTTACAGATTGTAGACTACTAGATGAGTAAAAAAGGAACCTGTCTAGATCGTCAGGCTCAAAGAGGAGCAGTTAGTCGTTCATACTTTACCTGAAAGTGGCTTACAAGTGGAGTTCCTCAGGGATGTATCCTGGCACCTGTCCTGTTGATAGGAGGAGGAGGATGTGGGATGCACCCTCGTGATGTTCATGGATGGGGAAGGTGCCACAGACAGCTAGGAACAGGCTGGAGGAATGGCTTATCAGGCACCTCAGACTTCAACCAAGGAAGCTGAAAATTCAAGTGTGAAGCCCTGCACCTGGGCCTGTACGCTGCAGTGGTACGGGCTGGGACCTGAGTGGCTGGGGGACCACCCTGCTGAGAGGACCTGGGGGTGCTGATGGACAGTGGGCTGAACACGTGCCAACGCTGTGCCCTGGCATTGAGGTATGTCAGGCTGTATTAGCAGGAGCATAGCCTCCAAATCAAGGGAAGTGATTCTTCTTCTCTGCTTGGCACGTACTAGGCTGCTCCTGGAATGCTCTGTCCATTTTAGGCCCACCAGTACAGGAAGGCTGTTGGTAAACTGCTGAGGGAGCTTGGTAAAGCCACCGGAGCCCTTCAGTACTCGCAGGGAAGTTAACAACAAGGTGGAGCCAGGCGCTTCACAGCTGTGCATGATGGGAGGCTGAAAGGAAATAGCCATGAATTGAAACAAAAGAAGCAAAAGAGGTTGCAACTTGATGTAAAATGAAACTTTTTCACTGTGAGAACAGGCAAGCAGTGGAGTGGGATGCCCAGAGAGGTGTAGCCTCTATCCCTTGAGATTTTCAAGACCCACTTGGATAAAGCCTTGAGTAAGCTGCTCTGATCTAATGGCTGTTCCTATTTGGAGTTGGAGGTTGGACCAGAGACCTTCTCAGGTCTCTTCCAATTGGAATGAGTCTGAATTTGAAAATACTCCTTTTGTTAAATTAGGGTGGGGAGTGGAATGAAGTACTTACTTAGGCTTATCCTGTGAGTTTCTTGACCAGAGCAGACTCTGCTGCCAGTCTGCAAGTCTACTACAGAATAATTGTAATGCTGTATAATAGCGGTGTATCTTCTGTATGTGAGCTGGAATAGCTGAAACTTGTATTTGCAGAGTTTATACAGGTATCTCTTTGTGTTGTGACCATTGCCTGAGTGTTAGGGAGTTCGGTGGTGTTTCCTGCTTTCCAAGACAGAGGGAGATGTGCTGAGATTAAGGGCTGAAAATTCTAACAGGAATTAATGAGCGTGCATCCCTTCTATCCCGTGACACTCCTTCATCGTAATATCTGTTGAGTCGTCAGCACTCTGATGGCTGTAGCATGTGGAGTTGATTTGGGTATTTCCTCTGGAGAAGCTTCCTGTGTATATAGCATTTTATGTCAGTTATTTCTTTTTTTGTTGTTGTTTTTTTTCCCAGCCACCAATGATCAACCTGAGCGTGGATGATGACGTACAGTTTGTGAGAAGTAAGTTGCTGTGTTCCGTGTTTGAAGATTATTTATGAAGTATTTCATGCTTTTCACAATGCTGAGTACATGGTGTAAACAAATGATAAATTGTCATATATCTAATATAGGCAGAACAGGAGGAATGCTGCACATTAAATGAAATAACAGATATGAAGCAACACATTCTTCATAGTTTTTCCTCTTTAAATCTCCTGCAAGTATACCTTCCCACTGCTGTAAAGAAAATAACTTATGGGAAAAGTGAGTTAGAGAAAACTGGAACATTGTGCTGGCAAACATATGTTTTCAACCGGTATTAATAAATGTAAATACAAGCTTGAGTGAATTTGCGTTGTTTTGGTTTTTTTTTCTCACAAATTGAATAGTCTCGCACATCTCACAGTAGCACAGTCCAAAACTGAGTTGTTGAACCTGTCACTGCATGCTAAAGAGTGCACAATCGTGCAGCCATGGGATGGGTGTGATGTACTGCGAGTAAAAGTGCATGTCTCATTCATCCTGGTAAAAATACTGCAGTTTGAAGTAGAGTGTTTCCTAGGGAAGCTTCCTTACACATGCAGCCATGTGCACGAACACACACGCACGTGCGTTCTCTTGAAGCATTAGACTGGAATATTACTCAGTTTGATCAGGTATGAAATACCTGGTTTGCTTTGCAGGAGAAAAGACAAGTAACAGCAGGATTTGACAGTCTTTCATTGACTCTAGCATCAGATGAGTGCATGTGTACCATGTCTTTTTTGTGCTTTAAAAATACATACTTTTTTGTGCTTTATGGATACATAAATAACAATCTGAAGTTAAACAAGGTGTTCATCAGTAACTTCTCTGCTGTTTCTGCAGATATGCTGGTAATGGATACACATAGCACAGGGACCTCTCTTAAACCTGTGGTGTCCTGGTGTCTTTAGATCTTTGTGGCATTAGTAAATTAAACAATGGCATCACCGGTTCTTTTTGTCCTGAGGCCAAATAGTACAGCCAGATTTTGTCCATATATTAGGTTCTCAGACTCCAGAACAGATTGGTCACATCCAGGCTGAAACAGTCCCTGAAACGAGGCAAACTCCTGAACCATGCCTGAATGTTACCTGGGAGATCTACTGGTTAATTTGGGCCAAGGGGGGGGCGGGGGGGAACAACAACAACATTTTAACAGTGTGATGGAGCTGATGATAGAGCTGCAGTTCTCTGGCAGTGCCCTGACACTATCTATAGTTAATCGAAGGTTTCATTGGTATTCATTCAGTGGTCTGAGCTCCTATAGAGCATAGTTACGTACCTGTTAGTGTCCATACTAGCAGTCTGAAGTCATGAACGTTGAAAGCCTGAAGATGCATGCTTGCTATTAAGATACAATCATTGCAAACAAATGAAGGTATATGTAGTTAATAGACTTTATATGATGCGATTGCAATGTCAGCATTAATAATGACAGTGTTTTCAGCCTTTTATCTTCATTGCTACTTCATCACTATTGTTCTTCTAAGGAACACTTCATACTCGTGTAGTAGTTTACCCCAAATATTCTATCAAAACTTTACAGGAACTCTGAAAGTCAAAAAGCCTCGATTTGATGCATCCTTGGTTCATTTGACCCGAAAATTCATGGATCTTGTCAAAACAGCTCCGGACGGTGTCCTTGATTTAAATGAAGTAGCAACAACACTTGGAGTACGGAAACGAAGAGTGTATGACATCACCAATGTGTTGGATGGAATCCACTTAATTCAGAAAAGATCTAAGAATCTTATCCAGTGGGTGTGAGTTGGCTTTGAAACTTCTAATTTCTGAAACAATAAAACCCAACAATGTTGAGTAATGTTTATAACTTTGAGAGTACTTTTAAGCATATTGAATTACTTTTAATAGATAAAAATATTCTAAGTTCTTCTGTATCCTTAGGCTCTCTGAATTACTTACTATATTAACAAGTATCAAGTGCAAAAGCACAATGAAGCCTATTTCAGCAGAGTAAAGGATGCCAGAGTTCCTTGTTGTCTTCTATTAGTATACTTTGTGTTCAATAAACAGGATCTTATTTATATAGCCATACTGGACAACTTTCATATTCTTCTAGAGGTTCTAATCTTGACCAAGTTGTCGGAAAAGCACCAGAGCAGCAAAACCTTAAAGATGAACTTTCTGACTTGTCAGCCATGGAGGAAGCTCTGGATGAATTAATCAAGGATTGTGCTCATCAGTTATTTGAACTAACAGATGACAAAGAAAATGCAAAATATCCTTTTAACTCTTGCATTGCTTTAACACGTGGTTTTGGTTGCAAGTACTCAGGTATCTAGTAATAGGTGTAGGCTGATACCACAGGTATGCAGTAATACTTGATAATGAGTTTTATAATAGGAAATTTATCGGTTATTTTATATTGGTGTATACTAGTCACGTGCCCTGCTTTGCAGTATCATGTGCAATCTAGCCTGTTCTCAGGGGAGTGCTACTTCTGTGACCTTCCCACTGCAGAAGAATGGAAGTGGGGCAATAGTCCTGGTACCCTGACCATCACCTTGTTCTCTCCGTTATAGAATAAAGTTGTCTCAGGGGCAGGTCTTGACCTACCAGTGAGATTGAGTTGCTTAGTGAGATGAGAAAGAGGACCCAAAACAGAGTCCCAATGGCCTGTAGCCGAGAAGATCTAATGGTACGTTGGTTGTGTCCTAATACTGTTCTGTCTCTTGAGAGAGGTTCCAATGCAGTCTTGTCTTTCAGAGGGGTTTTGATAACAGAAAAGGGATTTCTTTTAATGTGACATAAACATTGGATTTTGGCTTTAGGTTGCAATAAAATATTACTTAGCTCCCTTGCCTAGCAGAATGTTAAGGTCTGTGCTCAAATGAAATGTGTCCATTTTCTGTATGATAGCAGGAAAACTTCATTACACTTTACTTGTTCTGGTTAAGAAAATAATTCCATAGTTTTCCAGGAAATTATTTACATGCGTAGTTATTAGAAAACAAAGAAGTAGTTTCTCAAGGGCAGCATTCCTCTGCTTTATGGAGGGAATGCTCCCTTAGACTTATGACGGCATCTGTGAAAACGGTTTGTCAAATTTGTTTGTTTTCTTAATATTGAATATCTCAGGTTTTTTTAAGCTTTTTCCTTCCTAGAAATAAAGAAAAAAGGTTTTCCACTTATCAGCTAATACTAAATTTTACAAAGCTAGTATTAAAGTAACCTGAGCTAAACTGTTTACCACTTTTCTTAAGCTGGTATTCTGCTTCAGCATATCTTACCGTCATACTCTTTGCTTCTGCCTGTTAGCAAATTACTTTACAGAATCCTTGACCAATGTATACACTAGCTTATGTGACATATCAAGATATCCGTAGCATTCAGGCATTTCAAGAACAGATTGTGATTGCAATCAAAGCTCCAGAGGAAACCAAATTGGAAATACCAATTCCTAAAGAAGTAAGTTTTATACATTCCTGTCTTAAGGGAACAAAAGTTCTCTAATTTGATTTTTTGCAGCAGCAATCAGTAATTGACTTCCAAGTTCTTTGTCATGTACAGCAAGTATCGGTGCTTTATTTTTCTTGTGTTCTACTAAACAACGCTGTAGGGATAATAGTCTAAGAAACTTATTTGCAGTATTTTTTGTTTACCTAAATTATTAAACAATAAACATATCTGAGCTTTAGTTATTTGGTTTTGCTAGAGAGAATGGAACAGCTGTAATAAATGTTACTTATTTCCACTGTTGGTTTGTTTGATAATTGCTAGGATAATGAAACTTGCAAAGAGCTGTTATTGTTTGTATACTGAAATCTACAAAAATTGTAAATCTAATCAAACAAAGCAATAAGCATGATTTGATAATGATCTTAACAGCATGTAAATGCTGTCTTACTGCGTAATGAGTAGACAGTTATTGTTACTACAATACTAAAGTATGAAAGGCACAGTGTGGTCGGTTTCGGCCCTCTAGGGGCTCGTGTCAAGGTGGATTTTTCACAGAGGTGGGGGGCTGTGCCCTGTCCTCACCTCGTGGTACAACAGGCATCCCCCCTTGCAGGTCAGACAGAAGGGCCATAGCCTTACCCTCTGCTCCCAGTCCCACTGCGCCTGGGCCTGTGTACTGGGAACCCACAGTTTAAGGTAGTGCTGTGAAAGCGGGGGAATACTGGAAGCAAGCTTAAGATAACAAATGGGGCTTTAATTCTGTTTTCCTTTTCCGTGTGCATTTTTTATAATGTCCTTAGTTGTGTAGTCATCACATCTGCCTTGCTGTGTGCACAGAAAGGGAGGTGATATTGTAGGAAAAGGAGGTACGACTCAATAGAACCAGAAGACTTAGATCCACTGCATGGATCTGCAGTGGTTTCGCTGGTAAAAGCAGCTGGTGCTCATCCTGTGGAGATGAAAAAGATAAGATTTCAGAGGCTTCCTGAAGCAAAAGAAGGCAGGATTTTAAAAGCTGTACTTCAGAGAGAACAGAATCTTCTCTCTGTTGCTCATTTAATTTGATTTGCTCTGTGCCTTGCAACATGATGTCTGCTAAAGGAAAGCAGTAAAATTAACACGGTTTAGTTGCTTTGCTGTATTATTAAAGCTGCTACGTGCTCTGATTTGTTTTCTGATCCATGGCATTGACTTGTCAAGTTTTAAATCCTGTTACTCTTCCTAAATATATAGTAAATCTTGGTCATATATCTAAAGGTCAGTAACAAGACTAAACAAAGTTTCGTTTAGGTGCACGTTCATCAAAAAGGAAACCTTGTTAGCTTAATGGTGCTTAATAATTGGTCTACAAATCTCTGTAATAGTCGTAATTTATGTAGAACTAGTAACACAATTTTATATAGTTATGTCATTCTTGTATTTGTTCTGTTCTTAGTCTATTGGCTTAAAAATATGTGCAAAAATAGATAACTGATGTGTAAGATTTGTTCTTTGGTTTATACGCAAGTCGCTGTTTTGTAGGATTGCATAGAAGTACATGTGAAGAGCACAAAAGGACCCATCGATGTGTATCTATGTGAGGTGGAACAAGAGAAGCCAGGTGCCAAAACTTTTGAAGATATGGATACCGTCACTTCTGAAACTGAGCCATCAGTTCCTCCTGATGAAGGTAATGTCTTCCATTTACGTTTTTATCCCCATGTAATTTTTTTTTTGAAGACGGTCATACCATTCTGATAAAGTTGAAAACTGTACTGTACAAGTATCATTTTGTGGTCATAGTTTGTGGGCCAAGATGTGTGGGACCGTAGGAAACGCCTGAAAGAGAAGTCGATGCTGTTGTGTTATCGCAGGAGGTCAGAGCCAGGCAGGTGCACACGTAGCAAGGCACTCTTGTTCCCTGACCCCTTTCCTTCCTCTGCTCGTTCCTGGTTTCCTGTCGGAGCTGCGCTCTGCGGATGGAACAGCGCGTGTCAGTTCTCCGCTGCCTCGCTGCGGAGTCCAGCAGCTCAGCTGAAATAGTTGTCGTGAGAGTTAAGATGCTGTTTCAAACGAGAGCGTGCTGCTCTTGCTCGTTACTGCCCTGTCTCGGGGAGGGCAGACAGAAGAGGGGATGAAGTATTTTGATCTCCTAGAACAAGACTGGCTGGAATACAGTCTCTCAAGAGCCCCCGTGCTGCAGGATGTTGTGGTTTAAAAATAAATGTGGCGGGAATTGCAGTAGCTCAGAACACAAAAGATAAATTATTTTTAGCAGTGCTGCTTTATAGTTGAGGGCAAGAGTTGACTTCTTAATCTTAGGCATTTTTTTACTTTATTTTGCTTGCGAAATGATTCGGAATTTTATTTCCTACAATGACGGTAATCTTATTCCTTTTTTTACTTTTCCTTTCAAAGTGAGATCTCCGGGGGAAGAAAAAAAACAAACCACCTGAGATGACAGACTAATTACAACTCAAAAATCTAATACGGAATGTAAATACCTGTGTTATAGAGCTTTTCCAAAGCCGCTTGGATCTGCAAACTTACTAACCTGAAGTGTTCCAAAGTGTTTTAAATTTAAACCAGCAGTGGGTTGGTTGAGTGCTTTCACAGGATTGCTTATCTTCCCAAGTCAAAAGACAACAGTTCCTAGAGTTGCTTTTAGGAGCTCTGTTTTCATAATTGCATGTGATCTACAGAGCTTTGGGAAAATGGTATTTTTAGCTTATGAAATAATTGTAATTGACGGAAAACATAGGCCATTAATTACTTCTGAAAACGAAGATTTGAAAACTATTTCTGGAATGATCCATAATCCTTATGAGAATGTATATAATACAGAAATGCACTTTTCAGTTCTGAGGCTGCACTACTACTAAGCAGGACTGTCAAATACGAGTGTAACAAAGACCTGGTGTATCGGAAGCCTTCACTATAGGAACAAGATGTAAATATCGTGAGAGTTATGCCTTACACTGTGTAGATGCTGTTTGCATTGTTTGCATCCAGCTCTGCATGAACTATGGTATCAACACTGAAGTTAAAGAATTGGGCTTTTTGTATATATCTGTATCATGTCTAGGTAGTTACCAATGTAGATTTATTGAGATGGTTTGCATTTCAGCCTTTGTACAGCAAAGAAATAAAATAAGCTTATAAAATATGAAATAGTCTAATCGGTCAGTCTAATGAAACACGTTGGGTTGTCTTTGTTGGAATTCACGGGGTAACTACAAGCATGAAAACTGATGTGAAAATTTTAAGTCCAGTGCTGGCAGCTAGCAGTTAGATCTGGTTCTTGTGATGCCACAATGCTGTAGCAATTTTCAGAGGAAACATTATGATCAGTTAACTACTTAAATTGGTCCCTTCCACTTCCTAGAGTTTACATACAGCGTAGCTTTAGCCTAGTACCATGATCTCTTTGTGGCTTTAGCTTGCAAAAATACGTAAAATACGTTAGAGCTACATCTGTATTCATCCATCTTTTAGTATCTGTAAAATGAAGCTTCAGAATTGTGATACTGGGTTTTCTCAGTGAATTGACTGTCAGCGTACAACTGCTGTCCTTAGGCTCATTTCACTGCAGTACTGAGAAGTGTGCTTCGTAGTTGTCTGTGTGGGGAGGGGGGGTTGGTTGGCTTGTTTTTAAATCGGAACTCAAAGTCCTTGCTTTCCCCGTCACACGGTATCAACAACTAGCCATCTACTCAGAAGTGAGAACACCCAAGCTAATAAACCCCTGAACATTTTAACCAGCAACTCTACAGCTATTTTTAGACAGATGCTGCGAAATTAGATGCCCTGTATTCTACTAATAAATACAAATTCATAACAGTTGATGCTGAAGAACTTAAATATACCTAAATACAGACTGAGAGTTAATCCAGTTTTCTACAAGGTTCGCTAGTTCTGCAAAATGCATGGTATTATAGTATGCAAACTGGGAAATACACCGAGTGCAAGCCTGTCTCAGAAAGTAATCTTGACTTCTCGTGTACGTGCTACCGCCTTCCAGTTCCAGAATACAGGACTTCAGTGTTGGATACTATTTTTCTGCATCTCTGTAAAACGCAAACTGCAGGCTGAGCTGTTACAATTATACATAAAAGCAAAGTGAAAGCACATTTCATACCTAGGTCACAGTAAAAACGGGGCAGGCGCTCCTCCAATGAAGCTGGGGGCGGGGGTTAAAATTAAGAAATGATCATTTTGCACAGCCAGGTCGTCCTTTCCCTTCAGTGTCTGGCTTTTTCCAGATGGCAAATGTGCTATTTGCATTTTTACATTGCTGTTCTCTTTCAGTGGGGAGAGAGGTCTGTGCCCAAGAGAAGTGTTGATCCCCCTACACTGGTTCAACAACTTGGGATAACCTTTGCTTTGAAAGGTGTGAAAATTTCCAGCACCAACAACTAATGCTATGCCCTTGGGTGGGATGTTGTTGCGTGATGATACAGCGTTTTGAACTGTGGAGTAACAAGTGTACTTTTACAAAATAACCATCTTATAAATGTTAAGAAAGTCTGTTTTCAAAAGCAGAACATACCTACTTTATTTAATTGAAGCATTAAGATCTTTCTTTTTGAACAAACCTCTAGTGATTCTGGTTTTCTTCTCTCCTTTGTGCAGGTTTTCTAGCTGTAGAACTCACTTTTTAACTTCAAGCTACACAATTATCACAGTGAAACGGGAGAAGCTGTAATATGACAGTGATACTATAATTATTTTCTTAAATACATCTATTGTTTTAATAGCGCACCTTCAGTGGAACAAGTGGACTTTTGAAGATTAAACCACTCCCTGGTACTACTTGGATACTGGAGTATTGCGATACTGGAAAACGACGTACTGTATAAGCTCAGTACGCCCACTAGCTGAAAAGACCAGACTTGGACTGGAGGAAAAGTTCCTGAGTGATGCTGACCTTAAACACAAGTTACAAGCTCACTTAAAAAGTAAACGTGATAGGATCTTACTCTGAATTTGTATAATAATGCTTGATTTTTTTTTCTGAAAGGTTATTAAGATTAAAGTATTTTTGTTGAGTCCGCGTCTGTCCATTTTCAACATATTTGTATGTGTAAGCACTTCCCTCAGCCATTTGAAGACTGCCTGTAATAAATTAAAAAGCTCTAATAACGTTTTTGTCTTTCCTTCAATAAGAATGGCTGAGTGTATAAATGCGTTAATCAGCACCAGCCAGGATCCGTAATTATAAAACGGCCTGGTCTTGCTGACTCTGTAACTGGAACAAACGCCGCAAGTTGCCAGTCCAGCCCTTATTTGGTACGGGAAATCACTCGTCGGAGTTTTCAGATGTGAATTGCAGTTTTTAAATAATGTGATTTATAAAGAAGAGAGAAGATTGCTTTGCTTTAAATTACTATCTTTTGGAAAGCACTTAAAAGACAGCAAATTCCTTCATTTTGAGTAATCTTTTTGTTGTGTGTGAAGAGCCTCATTTATAAGCATAATTAAATTACGCTGATTTCAAAAGTCACTTTAGCTCTTGTAATTTTCAGTGGTGAAGTCAGCCTGCTTGCTAGAGGATCGGCTGGTCCCGAGGAGCTGGAGCTGTGAACCCTTGTGCTCCGCGCTCTCGGTGTATCGGCTGGCGCTGGCACCGTGCTGGGACTTGAGTAACCGCTGGAGTGCTTATCCGCAGCACTGATCTGCTATTTTTGGTTCCACTTCTGATCTGCCGGCAGTAACTTGGGAGAAGTCTGTTGAGGCTGAAATCACATAAATTATACTTGGTTGTGTACGGTTTGTATAAATCTACACCAGGCGTCTCACGCAGATGTTTACTGAAGGATTGGGATACTCACTTGTAAAAAAAACTATGTTCGGAAGGAAATCTTAATGATGTTTGGAGAGAAAGAGAAGCCTGGTTCTCTCCACGCATCTCGTACGTGGTTCCTTCCCTCCCTCCCATCCCGCTGCAGCCTGAGGGCCGTTGCTGCCTGGACGCCCGCCGCGCGCAGGTGGGCTCGCGGTGGCTCCCCACGAGGTGATCCATGAAGGAGGTGGTGGTCGTAATCGCCCCCGGACTGAGCGATGGGGCCACAGGAGGCCCTCCTCGAAGCTGTAGCAGCACATTCAAAAGATACAAGCTCAGGACATCGTTAGTCTTTTACTGACTTTTATTAGGCCTCTAACATTTCATTGCATCCTTCTTCAAAAGGAAAACCTAGCATTAGCACTTCAAATGAAAACTTTAGGAATCTAAAAATCTGCAAGAAGCTATTCAAGTTCCTGCAACAGTTTTGCTTTCAGTCTTTTGTAGGTTCTAATGCAAATCCTGAACAGATCTGCTTTTAGATAATGCAATATTCTTTTCCAGACAGACAAGCAATGTTGGTGGTACGGCTGTCATTTTCTAAGGAACTCTTTTTTTTTTTTTTTCCTTCTTTTTCCATCTGTAGCCGTAGAAGTGTCACAAGCAGGTTACAGCCGTAGTTGTTACTCCTCTAACATGCAGCCAAACCGCATATCATGAAAAAAGAAGCAAAAATTGTTAAAGATTTTCTTGCAGATTAGGAAGGTGTCAGATCAGATATAAAGTTTCAGCCAGCTCAGAAAGAGAAAACCTGGCTTTATATATATTGTAATTACAAGGCACACAAATTCTTAGGAGGCTTGCTGGCTCCTAAATCTAGGATAACATTTGTGTTCACAAACTGTGACCTCAACATAAAAGAGTTTGTTTCCAAATGTGAAAATAAAAGAAGTTATCTGTCAGAAGAAAAGTTCAAAGTCCAGTAAAAACATTTCAGAATTTATTTGGATAATAAAGTTTTAAAGGGGATTGTAAGTTAGAGATGGGCCCAGACCTTTAAGTGCAAGTTAAGAAGCAAGGACCTGCAAACTTGAAGAGTAAAACAAGGTCAACAGGCCCCATGTTTATTATACCAGTCGTTAACAGCAAAGGTTGAAGCTAGATACAGACTTCTCTAAAGACTGAGATTTCTGGCTGAGATTGAGCGTGACCAAAATATTTGTGAGACAGCTGGGATTCCAGCAGAAGAATTCTGGATCTAGAAACACCAGCAAAGGGAGAATTTCCCTCATTATTTGCAGCGGTAGCTGTTTGTAGGCAGTTACTTACTGCTTTATTTTCTTCACAAGCACGCAAAAAGAAGTTCTTGAGCACGGGTACCTGTATGAAACATATCCTACTAAATATTGCAAGTGGTAAAATTTTGGCATGGCGTCTGGAACGAGGGAAGGCATTAATGCGATTTTGAAAATGAGGACGCACAGTCCGTATCTCTAATGCTCTTATTGGTAAGATCCATCTTTCTGCAAACTGTGATGACACTGTCTTCTGGTGTTCTCATCTGCTAGGTGGTACTCTGCCTGTGCTCTTGCTCAGAAGTGTGCAGAAAATAAATTGCATGTAGAATGAATGAATGAACAAATGAATGAACGGAGGAATGAACGAGCTCCCATTTTCCCCTGCTGAGACTCCTGAACATTCAGACCATTTCAGACCATTTCTTCCTGACCACACAGCAGCTATGAAAGTACTGAGAGTAACACCAGATGCTCTGCTGTTAGCTGGACACTCAAGGATCAAACCAAGCTTCCCAGAAGTTAGTTGTGATCTCTTCATGATCCCTAAAACACCTACAAAACCAGGACAATATCCACACGCTGCCTCCACCCCTTACACTAAAGCTGGTTGCACAGAAGTCGTAGTCAAGAGCAGAGAGACGTGATTTACTTGATAACGCTGCTCCCCGCAAATCATCAAAGAACCTTTTTACCAAGCAATGTTCTCATCACCAACGCCGGTAATACTTTAGTTTTGTGTAAGAAACAATTTCTCGTGGCAAAAATCCCCCTGGTGTTAGAGACAGATTCAACCTTAACTGCCCAGCAACGTGTGCAAGGCCTTCAAACTGGTGAGAAGCTATCGGAGATGATGATTTCTGTCCTTATTCAGCTGAAGAGAAAACAAACACCTTTGAAATGATGCAAAATGATCCCATCCTGGGAGAATACTCGTGGGGGAAATACAGAGATTTGCCTCAGGAACTGCAGCATCAATTCTTCCTGTGATCAGAGGTTTGAAAATAAAAGCAAAATACTGTGAAAACATTAGCGTTGCCTTTCCTTTGAGATCAAACAAGTCTTAATTGCAGATTTTTCTTGGAGA